AAATTCAAAAAGATCAAATGAGGATAATGATTAAGAAAAAAAAAAATTCAAACATACAGCTTCGTTTGATAAATTCATTTTGTTTTATGAGCTCTAGTATCGATAAATTATCTGAATTTTTATCTGATGATGATAACATAATGATGCGTAAGAAGTTCCCTGATGAAGAATCATTAAAATTAGCAATATGCAAAGGTGTGTTTCCATATGAATATCGCAATAATTGAGGAAAACTTGAAGAAAATCAATGACCTGATAGAAAATTTCTTTTTTATTCTCTAAATGATTTAAATGTAACCGATGAGGAGGATTATGAACATACACTCAAAGTATGGTCTCCCTTCAATACTAAAACATTAGGTGATTGTTATGATTTATATTTGACCATAGATGTTTGCCTTCTAACTGATATATTTGAATATTTTAGAATCAATTGTATGAGAACTTATAATTTAGATCCTTATTATGATGTAAATAATTTGTATGGAGCAGCCATGAGCTCTTCTTTACCATATGGTTCTTTTAAATGGTTTACGACAGAAATCCATATTATGACTATAAGCGATGATGATCTTACTGGTTATATACTTGAAGTTGATTTGGAATACCCTCAAAGTTTATTTAAAAGACACAAAGGTCTGCCCCTTTGCCCTGAGCATTTCCGAGCACCTAATTCAAAGCATTCCAAATGTGATTCCATTAAATCAGTGATGGCATCAAATTTTTAAAAATATAGAATTAGCATAAATTCTCTCTGCGATTAATTTTTGTTCAAAATGATCCAACATCTTCTCTAAAATAGATACAGTTTCATTTAATGATAATAATGATATTTCACCGGATACTGAATCTTCTATGTCGTTTATCTGTTCTTTCAAAGTAGATATAGATTCTCTTAATAATCATGTTTCATCATGTGATAAATCTATTGTTTCATTCAAATCTGCCAACAGTATTTCATGTAAGTTTTTAAATTCTTGATGCACAATATTATTAACACTTTTCAATGATGCTGCATCATTTAAATCAGTTATATTGCACAATCGTTTTCCATCAATATCGCCACTAGTTAATTGGAAACCTTCCAGGAGGCCCTCTCACTAGACCGGGAGTAGATTCCCAACGCTCTCCAAGACGATGCATGCTTATTTTTTCAGAAAACGATGTGAACACCACAAAAGTTACCACACGAATGATTAGTTTCTGACTATACTTCAGATTATATACCTTTTTCAAGTATCATCTCTAATTCATCCAACTTGGTTTGAAGTGCTGTTAACTTTGAATTTATTGTATTGATTGAATTGGCTGTAAAAGATGTATGAGTTTTCACCCTGAAAAGCAATTTCTGAATCTTCTATGTAAAGCGTATTTTCTCGAAGTTCTCTTACGCCACACTTTGTATCCATATTTTAATTATTATCTCTAAGCATTTTTATGTATTTATTTATTGTTTCGATGATTTTGAGGGGGGTACTTGATATCATACTCGCTGTAGGCTTTTGTCGTTGATCTTCTTCTTCTTCTACAACTTCCATTCTTTCTACTAATCCCTCCTTTTCTCCTCCCACCGCTACTTCTTTCTCGCCTACAGCTTCTCTGTCTTTTCCTTTTGCTGCTCTTTCTTCTTCTTTATCTTGTACTTTTGTATTTTCCATCATTTCGTGCTTCGAATTATTTATAGGGATTGGTCTTTTCATAGCTCTTAATATTGCTCTAACTTCTTTGCTCTGATTGATTTCTTCACGTTTATTTTTTTTCATGTTATCGTTATAAATAGAGAAAATATCCAGCTTCGGATGATTGAATTTCCTCTTTCCCGAGGCGGCATATTGTCTTCCATTCTTCGATATATATTCCCATTACCGTCGTTCAATACTGATATTTTAGGAAAGACGTTTTTTTTATTTATAAGTTGATGTAATGGTGTCACTACGGGCTTAGAAAATTCATTTAATGAATACTCACTATCATTTTTCCCATGCTTAATCATTTCATGTTTTCGACGTATAACATCGCTGACTTTCATCAATTTTCCCAAGACATTGACTGCCTCCTCAAGTTGTCCACTCAATTCACTCATATTGATGATGTTTACTTAACAAACAATTATTTATAAATGTATATACTCAGAATAAAGCATTTAATTTATACATATGTGTTGAGAATTAATTAACTCCCACTTTGAATTTGCCAGCTGACAGAAACTTCGGCGGCCATCTTGGGACTGGGTCGACAACCAATCGACCAAATAATCAATATTTCTTAATCTAGTCACTCATTTGACTAATTTTTAGTGTCCCTTTTGACTAATGAAGTTCCTGTCGCCATTCTTTTACTGTTCTCGTTTACGTGTACACGCCATACTTATTCATTCTTAACAAATCTTACAAGTTTGAGTCAATCATCAGTACTAGTGCTATTGAAAATTATCAGAGCCATTCAAGCTTCATTCTAAAACTAGAATCAAGTAATATTTCAAGACTTTTCATTGTAATTCACGACATTTCATCAAGATTCATTTTGCATTGCATTGATGGGCTAACGCCACGTGCACAATCACATTCTTGCTCAACTTGAGAAGCGTGCTGAGCTCGTGTGGGAGGTCAATAATACCGAACACGCCAAGTTGAGTATATTTTGGACATTCAATTCAGATTCAGTATAATTAAAATAGACATTCAGTGATTTTGAGCGACATTCAGTCTTCCTAGTTAGTAACACAAATTTGTCTGTGTATTTAGTGTACCTGTTAGTGCTTAAAATAAAGATACTTTATTTTTTATATAACGATGGCGCAGAGGAGTTTGGTAGTTCAACCGATTAATTAGATGATCCATCAGCTAAGCTAGGTAGAAGATCAGCTACCGAAAGCATCATTCCAGTTGGCACACCACCCAATCCAGGTCTACCCATTCAATTGACCTTCAAGATCAAGTCTCAAATGGCTCGGCTACGCTTAGCCCAGTCATTCACTCAACAAATCAGAGACCAACAACAGACAATCACCAAAGAAGAAAGACTCTCGCTGGAAAAACAACTCACAGCTTTGCACGAGTCTTTTAATTCAGAACATCAAGTGCTCGAGGAGGTTTGGCCACCATCTCAATTTCATCATCCGTACATTGTGGATGATGTCTTTGAGACATTCAACAAATCAGTCTCAGACTTCTTCATGATATCTGCTAAAGTAGCTTCCAAGGAACCTCCAGCACAATCAACATCAACCAGTGGTGCATCTGACGTCGCACAAGCTTTAGCCCGACTTCTTAAGCTGTCAGCTGCCTCATCTTCCACATTCTCAAACATCTCGATCAACATACTCGTGAGCCCTGGGAAACCCAGAATAATGATCTTGAGTGAATGCCTACATACTCAGAGTTTCATGACTTCCTATTAGCTCGGATTCGTACTTTGGAGAAACTGGAGCCACGCATCAAATCAGACAATCAACAACGCTCATCGCACTCAACCACCAGTGAGCGTAGATTCATTTGTGACTGCTGCAATGGTGGTCATTTCATCGTAGTCTGCCCAGAATACAGGGCTTTGCCTCTCGAACAACGGTTGAGGACTGTAGACAGTATAAAACTGTGCAGAAACTGTCTTGGAAGACATAACACACCATCCTGCACCAATAAGAACGTATGTAAGGAATGCAACTCCAAACATCACACCATGTTCTATTCACTTCTGTTTAGACAATCATCAGGCAACAACAATCAAGCGTCTTCCAGGACACAATCGCCACAACAATCACCATCAGACACTCAACCTTCAACTTCACAGCAATAAGGAGGCGAAGCAGTCTTCGAAGAACATTCAAACAATTCACAGACATTCAATCTTGCTGATGGACTTGCTCTGGAGGGTCAAACTGACTGGATGACCTTAGCACATGAGGTTTCGGCCTCAGGAGGGTTGAGGGTTCAGTTGGAATGGTCCAAAGGACGAGTTCAGAAGCAGCAAAATCATCTAGGACAATCAAAAGGTCAGAATGACCACAAGACAATCAATCAACATTCAACTAGTAGTGCAAATAGCACGCAAAATCATCAATCAAGTGACGTTAAATCAACTCAACTTAGTAGACAATCATCGACGAGAGCAATCTGCTCAAGTCAAACAATTCCAAGTCATCTACATGATGATCATTCAACGCAGTTAGCAACAGCAAAAGTCAGAGCCAATTCACATTCAGGGAGTTACATTGCACGAGTGCTCATAGATCGTGGATCAGAGCTAACACTAATCACAACTCAACTAGCCAATCTGCTGCAACTGAGAAAACATCATCAGACAATCAACATAAGAGGAGTAGGCAGCTCTAAGCTCACTCAAACAAAAGGTGTAACATTCTGCGAGCTACAATCATTATTATCCAGTCATTCAGTATACATTCGAGCTCACATAATGAAACAGTTGACAGCTTCAATTCCGAAAGTACCATGTAATTATCCCAACAATCATTGGCCTCATCTCAATGGATTAACACTAGGTGATCCAACATTCAACATTCCACAATCAATAGACATTCTACTTGGAGCTGACTTTTATGGACAAATCATAGAACAAAATATCATATGTAATTCTCCAACAGCTCCTATAGCCCAACTTTCTATCTTTGGTTGGCTAATTCTTGGTCCAGTAGCACAAAATTCATCAGTCAATCATTATCATATTCACTATGCTACTACAATCACGAACCATGAAAACATTCAAGAGTTGCTGACAAAATTCTGAGTCCAAGAAGAGGTTCCCATGTCAAATCAACATCAATTATCATCCTTGGACCAACAATGTGAAGATCAACTCACTCTAGACATTCATCAGGACAATACATTGTCAGAATTCCACTCATTTCTTCACCTGCAGCTCTTAGAGACTCCTATACAACTGCGTATCGATGTTTGAAACGTCAGTTGAGGAGACTAACCAACGAGACTGAGTACAGCAATCTTTACAGACAATTCATGAAAGAATAAGAAGAACTTAGTCACATGAGACCTGCTCCAACAATCAATCAAGAATCTCAAGACATTCATCCATACTTTCTTCCTCATCATGGGGTTTTAAGACCAAGTAGCACAACCACCAAGCTTAAAGTCGTCTTTAATGGATCCAGCCCGACGTCAACTGGAATCTCATTGAATGACATCACTCATACTGGAGCAAAAATTCAATTAGACATCTTTGACGTACTTCTTTGGGTTCGTCAACATCAATACGTATTCGCACTAGATCTGCTCCTTATCTAGCTCAGACACATTCATATTCACATCAAAATCAGTCACCACATGAGTCAACATATTCAAAACGCCTCATTCTTTCAGAAGTAGCTCAAATTTATGATCCTTTAGGGTTTGTGTCACCAATCACAATCAGAGCTAAGATGCTCCTTCAAGAACTATGGTTACACAAACTCAGCTGGGACCAACCAGTCTCACAATCAATCATCAATCGCTGGCTGATCATCAGAGAAGAATTCACTCAACTTCATGAGATCTCACTTCCACGATGGATTCACTCAACCAGACATTCAACTGTAGAAATTCATGGATTCTCTGATGCTTTACAGCTTGCGATGGCTGCGGCAATCTACTTAAAAATCAATTCACCGTCCACAGGGCCCAAAATCACACTCATCTGTGCGAAAACTAAAGTAGCACCAATCAAACAAATCACGATCCCCAGGCTAGAGTTAACTGCTGCGTTAATTCTAGCAAAACTCACAAAGTATGTTCGAGCTACACTCCACAGAGTGAACATACATTCAATTTACTTATGGACGGACTCTTCAATCACTCATCCATGGATCAATTCAAATGCAGGACGCTGGAAGGACTTTGTCAGGAACAGAGCAGTGAAAATTCAAGAACTAGTTGCGGACGCGCACTGGCACCACATTTCTGGCAAGGAAAATCCAGCGGACTGTGCTTCAAGAGGCATTACAGCCAATCAATTGAAAGATTACTCGCTATGGTGGAGGGGACCCACCTGGTTAGCTGAAAATCAAGAAAACTGGCCAGTAAATTCACCACCAGCTGACGAGGCTTGTAACTTAGAAGCTCGTCCTGGAATTTTACTCATAGCAGCCATTCAAGACAAAATCATTCAATGGGACTGGGTAACAGATATTCTACACTCAACAAGTTACTTAGAATCACCGCCTTAATCATCGAATTTACTCCAAGACTTCGACATTCACCAGTTACCAGTCCTTTAGCATCAATCACAATAGCTGACATCGAAAAGGCGAGAAATTTCTGGATAAAGTCTACTCAAGCAGCACATTTTCACCAAAAAATCAGGACTTTATCCAACAATCAACATCTTCCACCAAACCATTCATTCAACAGACTCACAGCATACGTTGACTCAGAAGGAATTCTACGAGTAGGAGGACGACTTCAGCATGCTCAGTTGAGTCATGATTCAAAACATCAATCAATTCTACCTCGACATTTGCCATTCACCACTCTTGTTATTAGACATTATCATTTAACCACACTACATGGTGGCACTCAACTTACACTCACAACAATCAGACAACGTTCCTGGATCATGGGTGGAAGAGCTCCAGTAAAAACATTCATTCTTCGGTGCATCAAATGTGCTCGACAAAGAGGCATAAGAGCACAACAGCTCATGGGCCAATTGCCACGATCACGTATCACTCCTTCATGGCCATTCTCTCATACTGGCATTGACTATGCTGGGCCATTCACAATCAAAACATCATCAGGCAGAGGAGCCAAGACTAGAAAAGCTTGGGTTTGTGTATTTGTCTGCATGTCAACTTCTGCAGTTCATTTGGGAGCAGTTAGTGACTATTCAACTGAAGCATTCATTGCTGCCTACAGGAGATTCACCTCTAGACGAGGATTATGCCAGACAATCTATTCTCACTGTGGCAGAAATTTCATAGGAACTGATATAGAACTCAAGAAATTATTCACACAATTCACCAGAGAACATGAGGTCATCTCTAGATTCATCATCACCAACGGCACTCAATGGTCATTCAACCCACCTGCAGCACCACACATGGGTGGCAAGTGGGAGTCAGTAGTGAAATCACTTAAATTTCATTTGACGAGAACAGTAAAAGAATCACTCTTTACGTTTGAAGAGATCACCACACTACTGACACAAATAGAAGCCATTCTCAACTCAAGACCTCTAGAGCCAATCAGTGATGACCCAGAAGACATTCAAGCACTCACTCCTGGACACTTTCTTATTGGGTCAGCACTCAACACTGTTCCTGAACCATCAACCTCAGAACCTGCACATTCAATTCAAAATCGATGGCGGATGATTCAACGACAATCACAGCAGTTCTGGTACAGGTGGTCACAATCTTACTTACAAAAATTACAAGCTATTTCTAAGTGGTTTTTCAGGAACAGAACAATTCAAGTTGGTGCATTAGCCTTGCTAACAGATGAAAGATTCCCCCCCTCCCACGAAATGGCCACTCGTGAGGATCATTCAATTGCACCCAGGGCAAGACGGGCTGCTACGAGTAGCAACGGTGAAGACACCAACAACGACGTTGGTCAGACCAATCGTCAAGCTAGCCATTCTACCAATCAACCCAACTCCTAAAGCCCAGCAGCAGAATCAACCAGGAGACAATCATCAACCAGTTGCTGATGGCGGGCGGCATGTTGAGAATTAATTAACTCCCACTTTGAATTTGCCAGCTGACAGAAACTTCGGCGGCCATCTTGGGACTGGGTCGACAACCAATCGACCAAATAATCAATATTTCTTAATCTAGTCACTCATTTGACTAATTTTTAGTGTCCCTTTTGACTAATGAAGTTCCTGTCGCCATTCTTTTACTGTTCTCGTTTACGTGTACACGCCATACTTATTCATTCTTAACAAATCTTACAAGTTTGAGTCAATCATCAGTACTAGTGCTATTGAAAATTATCAGAGCCATTCAAGCTTCATTCTAAAACTAGAATCAAGTAATATTTCAAGACTTTTCATTGTAATTCACGACATTTCATCAAGATTCATTTTGCATTGCATTGATGGGCTAACGCCACGTGCACAATCACATTCTTGCTCAACTTGAGAAGCGTGCTGAGCTCGTGTGGGAGGTCAATAATACCGAACACGCCAAGTTGAGTATATTTTGGACATTCAATTCAGATTCAGTATAATTAAAATAGACATTCAGTGATTTTGAGCGACATTCAGTCTTCCTAGTTAGTAACACAAATTTGTCTGTGTATTTAGTGTACCTGTTAGTGCTTAAAATAAAGATACTTTATTTTTTATAAAACCTGACTTCCGTTTGCTCTGTTCCGGCACAATCATCCCTATCCTTAAACGGTTAGGTAAGTTCACAAGTTAAGATTTTCTCAACAATATGAAACTATCAAAACCTCTTCTATACCCTCCATTATTGATTTTACCATCTCTATCGATGACGAGAAGTCTAATCATTTTTATTCCAACATGAAGTACACAAATCTTCAAATTGTTAAAATTTCATATCTGCATTAACATGATCATTATATATGTATCGTAAATTCATTTCATCTTGTCGCAAGAGAATGAGGAAATTTACATTATCCCGTATTAGATGTTTTGAGATTCTTGCATAAGTTTGACAAAGATAAAAACTATTAACATCTTTGTGACGACCCATACAAAAATATGCTCGAACATTGTCTGGCTTCTCACAAGCTATATCATCAAATATCATAATGGAATTAAGTCATCATCTGTCTTTACAACTTGTTCATTATTATTGAATAAAAAAAAAACAACGTCATCAATCGGCTTGAGTAGTTTTTCTAAGTATTTATATTCAGGTTGATTTAATGATTTAGAATACAGATAAATATTTCCAAATCTTAATCCATTTGGATGAGTGATTAAAGCCAACGATGCATTTGTTTCTCCACAATTAGACGGTCCATAAATAACTGAGCGTATAGAATTTAGTAATAATTTACCATGACGTTTAGTCTTTGTATTTTTTTTCATTGGTATAACTTTATCAAAATTTTCTACAGATAATTTCAAATCTTGTGGTTTAAATTCCATCTCGATAATAACTAAGCGTAAGGATTGAAATATCGACACTTTTATAGTTTTCAATTAGTTGAATAATGACTGTCAAGAAAAAAACATCTAATAAAGGAGCGGAGATACTAAATAAAGTCATTAATAATTCATCTGTTGAATTACATATTTCAGACTATCAATTTTGTGGGCCGGGTACAGAATTACAGCAACGATTGGCTCGAGGTGATCAAGGAATCAATCTATTAATTACTGCTTGTCGAGCACATGATATAGCATATCCTCAGAATAGAGAAAATCTATCAGAAAGTTAACTCACGAAAGAAGAGAGTAAAAGGGGGACAAATAAAGAAAAAGAAAACTCCACAACGTAAACGTCGTCTACCTTCAACCAAAACATCTGGTGGCTTGTTACCACTGCTTTTATTGTTAGCAGGTTTACCATCATCAGGACTTTGGGAAAATGAATCAGCAATTATCAATTTAGATGGATCTGGAACTCATTGAGTGTCCCAAGATGGCCGCCGAAATTCCTGTCACGTGGCAAATTCAAACTGAGAATTAATTAATTTTCAACAAATACATTTCATCCATTTGTAGTTTTTTTGTGATATAAGTGAAGGTATTGTTAATCATCAACTTATTCTTCATCTTAATAGCATGTTTTTGTTTTTTTAAATTATTACTTTTTGTTACTCGATTGCACAACAATGTTTAGGTAATCTTAAGACAAATTGTAAGTTTTTCTATTTATCCGTGGCTGCATGAAATCTACTCAAATTTTCATCTTTTATCCGAATATCTCTAGCCTTTAAATGCTTATGCTGTTTGCTTTTTTTAATTTATTGTCATTAGTTTCTTACACAATATTTGAGATTTTTATACTTTTGATAATTTTCTTGTACATGCGTCCGTATGGTGGTTTGTATATTGCGAGAAAGTAGTATGTAACTTTCATCATTTTCAAATCGTTTATACACGAGTTATGAATTCGTTTCCATTGTAATATGGAATTACATTTGCTTCCATTCCCTGCCTGTTACGGAGGTTCGTGCATTAAACAAATTTAGAGATTTATCTTTGAGAATTTTGAAAGTGATAGCTAATAATTCAAATGAATTTAGTTGGCTGTATCAATAAATGTCACCGTTTAGATTAGCAATAATAAATGTATAAAGTTCAGTTGAAGGTTCAGTTAAACACTCAACCGAATGGCGCAATTAAATTCAGATTTCTTGTAAACAATACGATTGAAAGTTTCATAATTTTTTAATAAATTAATTCTCATTGTCAAGTATAATTTCATATCAAATACAGTCATTTATCTTTAAATTATATTTTAACATAGGTTTTCTTCATACTATACTATTAGTCGTGCATGAATTTCTTTAACGGTAAGCGTTATATATTTTTTCATAACTCAAATAGTATGCTACACTTGTCTCGAAAATACTATTTCGATTCTTTAAATCGTAATTCGATTCGTTTACATCGATTTATCGTAGCCACTTATCTTTTTTCTACTAACCGTAAATTGAGAGCGTTGTTATTGTGTATTTATTATTACAAAATATTGCTTTTGGTGGACGTAATTCATTAAAATCTTTAACTTTTATTATACTTTGGTTGTATCCTTTTCGATGATGATTTTCTACGATACATTTTTGACGTCAACACATTTATGTTAATTTCCGAGAATCACATAACCTTAAAAATTTTTCCTTAATGAATAAACAGAGATATTCGAATTCATTTAAATTTTATTATAATGCCACGAAAGCCTGCGAAATCTCCGGACAAAATATTTAATGTTCTAAAAGATATAAATTTTCGTTTAGATGATAACAAATTTTTGCCATAGAACGATTTCGTCTGGAATAGAGCATCTCAGTTGTTACAACCTGTAATGTCTAAAGATTATTTATACCAATATATTACTCATAATCGGAATAATGTTTCAAACCGTATTAATTTTTTTATCAGACATAAAACTGAGTAACCAGCCTGAAGATTTTCAACAATCTCCTTCAACGGTTAAAGAGAGAAGCTTGAATGTTAATGAGATTTTAAGTGATCACGTTAAGGTATTATTAAGCGGAGTAAAAATTTATCTTCATCAATGTTTAGAAAATTCTGAAAATTCAATTATAAATATTGAAAAAATAATTGTAGATCGATCAGTCATACTATGCCTTCGTATCAAAGTTATATCGAATCTATTGATCATGAAGTGTTTAATTTCTTAAAGAAACTTTCCAAGAATGGCGTTGATTTACATGTCTATGTATTAAGGACTAAAATTTTGTCTACATTAGAGCCTCTAAGGCAAAACGTTCAACTTCAACGCGAATATCAGTAGTATTATAGGTGAGCTTCTCTACAATATACCATTTCTTACTGAAGTAACCAAATGTGATACTTGTAATGTTATTAATCGACAAATTTTTGGAATTATAACGTTAGATTTAGAACGATTGTATCAGAATGGAATTTTTGAGCTACAACAGGCATTAAGTGAATCTTATCGACCTAAAATAAATGTCTGTAGTCAATGTAGTCAAATAGAAGAAAGAACATTTGCAAGTGAAGAACACATATTCATTGATATTGAATCACTTCAGTGGCCAACTTTAGCTAAAAATGTGGATTTCACAAAAAATATAGACGTCTCATTGGACTCACAAGTTTACCCAGTGATATCAAATTTCATGGAAATAGTTATAGACTAATAGGAGTTGTAGAGTATATTAAAAATATTCCTGTGTCACATTATCGATGTTTCGTTCAACGAAGAAATGGTGACTGAGAATTATATGATGGAATAAGTAAAGAAGCTACATCTATAATATTGTCAGATACTGAAAAAGACAAAGAACGAAAAATTTATGTATTGTTTTACGTTAAAATGTAATAAACTACCATATTTGCCACTAAAATAATTGTGATTTTTGCTACATGATACCATATCGTTCTTGAATTCTGTAATATAAGGTGGGTGACCCAAATAAAGCCTATGTCCTAATAAGGCCTTATTTGGGTCATCCACTTTATTATAAATTATTATCTCTAAATAGCTGCGTAACTCATAGATACTTTTTTACTCTATTTCTCCAAGGCATTTGAACATCAGTTATATAAAGTCGTGTTAATAACTTTCAACAGTCGTTGATGGCGATGCTGAAAGTAGCTCTATTTAGATACGACTTGATGAATACCATTTCACATTTGGTAGTATTCAACACAAAATACCATGAGAAAAGCTTAGATCTTCCTAGATACAATTAGATCTTTTCTCAGTAAATCTAGTATATGAACCCGAGAAAAAAAGTTTATATATAAACATATATAATCGGATATAATTTGATCCAGTTGGATATAAAATTTAAATTTTATGATATGTTTTTATATATAATTATATTTACTTAGATATAATTTTATATAAAAATTTTAAGTTATATATAATAAGATATTAATACTTAATTGACTTTTAGATCTTAGTAAGTACCAGTATCTATCGCTATATCAAATTAGATATGAGCATATAAGAACACATCTAAGCA